GGTAACGGTCAGACTATATCCGATTTCGGCCGAACTATATTCGGCCGAAATCTTCCAAATTTTCGGATCAAAATTCGGCGGTCACATTGAATACGAATGGATCCGGAAAACGTTTAATTATTAAATACCTATGCATCATAGACGTTCAAATTTCAGTTGTGGTTTGCATTTTTGTCAGGATGGACGTGTGTGACCACATTTACTTGTTAGAAACAAGCCCTATTTTAAAGTACTTACTGTTACACGAAGAAGAAAAAAAAGTTTGGGTGAATAAAATTTATGAAGATAGGGAAAGATTTGGTGAATTCCATACTCTTTTCCCTAAACTCCTCGAGCAACCAGTAAAATTTTATGAATATATGAGAATGACACCTAAAACTTTTTTCTATATTCTTGAGAAAATTCGTTTCCAGCTCCAAAAATATTCAAACTTCCGAATTTGTATTACACCTGAAGAAAGACTAGTAGTTACATTAAGGTAAGAAGGATATCATATTGTATTGTAAATGCTTATAAAGTGAGTAATATTTTATATTATATAATATGTGATAATATTTGATTATAAAAACCTAGTACCTACCTACTTTAAAAATTAAGTTTTTAAACAATATATTACCTTTGTAACAAAAAAAATCATAGGTGAAAAATTATGTATAAATTAAATATGTATGAATAATACTGAAAAAAATAACATAATTACTTAGTATAATATAAGAAAAATGAATAAAATCACCGTTTCTAAACTTGAAAACGTAAAATTATATTGTAACACTGTTCAAAAAATATATTAAGTTATAAAAAAAACCATTTACTTACTTCAAAAGATAAATTATAAAATAATATAAAACATTAAAATATATCAATAAATATGAATACTTAATAATATGTAGAACTAGCTGTAGCAAAAGTTTGATTTGGTTCTTGAATAAAACTTGCAATGAATTGGTTAGAATCATTATGTATATTAGAACATGCTTGGCTTGAATCTTCAGGACGTGGTGGCTGTAAATATCTCATATTTAAATCATTTTGATTTAATCTATTGCTGTCACATCTATCTTGCTCTTCCAAAAACAGTTGTTGCAACTTATGTCTAACTATTAATTTTCTATTATCTGGAAGTTCTTGTAAGTAAGGCACCAAACTTACCATAAAATGGAAACTTTCGTCTTCAATGATTGTTTTTTTTTTTTGCGAATTTTCATTTATTTTACTAAAATGATGTAGTTTTTGTCTTTCGATATTAAGCAAATCACTAATTGCATCATGTTTATTAGTTTTTTTTTTTCGTTGGTAATTGCTCATATGATGAAGAATCCATACCTATAGTTGTTTCGTGTAATTTTTCCGATGTATTAAAGTTTTCGTTTACGACGTCAATACTGTCACTTTCTGGTGAATTAATTTCCCTAGTGTTTTCTAAATCGCTTTCCAATTCATTCATCGACATTGGTGTGGGGATATTACCTATCATTTGTCTCGGTGTTTCAATATCTTTTAAGAAAGACAATGCTTCATAAAATCTCCACTTTGATGAGTTTCCTCCAGACCCAGAACCTGTTGGTTTTTTGTTCTTTTTTAATTCTTTTTTATAGGTATCTCTTAAATTTTGCCATTTGGTTTTTAATAGATCACCTAAATTATAAAATAATTAAATTATATAAAATAAAATTGTAAAAATTATGTAAACATTTATCTAAGAAATATGTTGTTACTATGATTTTTAAAAATGTAGTTAATTCTGTAACCAAAAATCTAAAAAATATACAAAACCATAGTTTTAGATTCTAAGCAGAGCGATGAATGTATTGATTTTACAATGATGATGTGGGTTTTTCTATTTTTTTTTTATATCCTGTAAACAAAATTTTTACCAGAAGGAGTGCTTCGATTTCCACATTTAGTATCTTATCTTTTATAAAATTGGATAAGGTGGTATTTTAAAGATGCAATTTTTCGATTTACTCAACAGTTATTTAACGCCACGGGAAAAACCACCGAAAAATTACGAAAAAACGGGATTTCGCTGTTTACAAACATTTTCAGTTTCCAATTTTTTAAGTTTTTTTTTTTACAAATGTCAATAAAATTTTATTTGTAAAATGTACCTAATACAAGATTCTTCATAAGTTTTACTACCTTTATCAAATAAAAAATATCTACCGGAAAGTCAAATTAAATTTTTATGAGCTTTTGAAGAAAAACAAATTATTAATATGTCTTGCGACAGGTTTTATTATTATTACTGTCCTTCCCACACTTGCCGTGTGCCCAAATTATTATATTTTTATTGCTTTTGACACTGCCATGTGTCCAAATTATTTTATTTTACTGTTTGTAACTTGCCAAAGTATAATTATGTTATATAACCATGTAAAATACACCCACATAATTACCCTAAACTCATTATTGTCTTGATTTGTTAATTAACATTGTTTTCTTTACCCCAACATAAATCTTCAACATTCATTTGTTGCTGCGTGTATCAAAACCTGTGAGTTCCGCCGACTTGGCCCTCGGGTCACAGGTCATGATGAAAGTGTTCCCTTTTCTTCATGGGTAGTTTTTGTGGAACTAAAAAGCCCAAATCCTTACAATAGATTGAAATTGCAACCAAAATAATTGTTTCTTAAACCAAGTGGTTTGTGGGAATATTAAATAACGATGTAAACATAAATACCTACATTATGAGCCTTAGGTACGTTTCTACATTTCCACCTATGATGTTATGTTGAAGTAACTAATTTATTATACTTCTATCGTCTGGTAAATGCAAGAAAAATTATTGTTGCTTCTGCAATTCTGTTATTATCTACGACAATAATACAATTGTTATTACTACACTTCTGCATTTGATTGATTGAACTTAATTGTTATTGTGTAAACAAATACTTTTGATTAAAACTACACCGAATTCGTTTAGGTTTATCAAGAATTTATGTCTACAATTTATGAATTCACGTCCAACCCGTGTCCGCCGCTTTTTACTCGATACCGTATCTGGGGTCCGCTTGAAGCTTGGGTCCAAACAGTGCGGTTTAGAGCTTTCTAACGTCGTGCACGACGAGCCCTTGCAACCGCCGCCCGACGAGCACCCATTGTCTTAGTCATCTGTATCTGTGGCCCGCTGATAGCGTGGGTCCAGTCAGTGCAGATCGACCGTTATTTTCCGCCGCCGCCGCATTTTCGAGAGCGCCGAGCCAGAGCCGCCGCCCGAATATTGTCGTCGTGTTATTCAAAAATTTGCACATCGTTACCCACGGAACCAGAGACGGATTTACACAATTGCTGTGTTTATTTACCAGTAATTTAAGTAGTAAACTAATAACCAAATATGAAGTCTATCCGCCTTGAATGTTGTGTTGAAAATAATCGAATGTCTAATCAGAATAAACCTATTTTTTACTCGGCCGCCCTCTATTTCATAGACTCATAGTTCCGAAGAAAAATAAACAATTATTACATAATTTTATCTTTTGGATAGAAAAAGTTTTGTTTTTGTACACATAATGCATAGTACGTACGAGTATATTATATAAAAATATTCACAGTAACTGGTTTATAATTAGACTATCGTTCCAATACGAATCGATCGTCACCCTTAATCCTTATTCGTATTAAATATATCATATCTGTATGTATTGTGCGTGTAGTGTGTGTCTGTGTACGCCGTGCGATCAAACGAACTTATTAATAATTATTACGACTTAGCAAAAAAACAAATTAACGAAATATGTTATCCATGTTTAGTATTTAGATAATATTGCTATAATAGATCTACACTCCGGCAGTCGTTAGATAATTTACTTGGACGTTTATTGTTTTGTATTATAAAATAAAGAAGAAATTATATTAACAAGAATATTATTATACTTAAATATTAAACATTTTTTTTCCATCCTTCAGAGTAATCACCGTACATTAGAAAATCAAAAAGAAACTTAGAGTATTCTCAATAAAATATTGACCTAAAATTGCCGCCCCTAAAAATTTGCCACCCTAGGCAACTGCATGCCTACTTTGCCTGACGCTAAATCCGCCACTGCACGGAACGATATCATAAGTACGTAGTATTTTACAGCCGCAGTTCGAGAGCTCCCAGCCCGTGTAGCCGCCGCCCGAATATCGTTGCCGCCGCGTACCTATTACCTACTCAATTAGCATTACAAAATTACGGTTATTTGTGCGTCGCGTCATTGTCGCCGCCGCCCGAATCCTGTCGTAAATAACGATTACCTACCACCTACACGCCGCGCCGCAACCCGCATAATATAGTACGCACGAGATCGTTTCGGTTCAACAATAATATTGGCCGCCGCCGTATTTGGACACACTACTATAGCGTTGCCGCCGATATCAACTATACCAGCGGTTCTTAACCTTTTGTAGATCGCGGACCCCCTTACCAATTTTTTTTACAAAACATCTCATGTTATCATAACCAAAATTATAATAATTATTTTATATTAAAAATTACATTAGTAGACAACAAAACATACACATTTCCAATTATTTTTATTACATTTAATTTTTTATAAAAATGTAATATAAAACTATAATTGAGTACGATCGATCAACTGCAATTATAGAGGTAGTAAATATAAGACTGCCGAGACTACAGTGCTGTACTCATGTACATTTCGTATGAACAAGAAAAACTGATTACCTACTTAATAAATACTAATAATACAATTATTTGGTGTAGAATCTACATATTATATATGAAAAAAAAATAATAATCTAATAATATTGTAATAATGCACTCTGTCACTTATTGATGTATCATGTATGTTATGTGTTGAGGCTGCCCAAGGGGCCCCGGACCACAGGTTAGAACCGCTGAACTATACAATAATACATTGCCGTCGTCGCAGATTATTCACCAGTACCATTCGACCTGTGTAGTAGCCAGTGGCGACTGGCGGCTATCCTATACTGAAGGTGTATCCGTTGATACACCTTATAGTTGGGTGGGTGGTCTTGGACCTCGGTGTGTATGGTGGGTAATGACTAATGACCCTAAATTAATGAAAACAATATATTTAATAATCCAACCGGTGTCTATACAAATAGAAATACTAGGTAGTAAATATATTGAAATATTGAATGTAGAAATTGTTGCATTTACACTGTTTCAAATAAACTATAAACAGTACAATAAAATTAGCTCAGAACATTAAAATTATAATTATTAACATTAAATATTATATATTAATAAGTAATCATTAATTAATGTTTATACCTACCTACCTAGTGGAGATAAGATAATTTTTATATTTTATTCATTTTATTTATTCTGTTGCTATACAGTAGGTAGGTAGGTACACAATATAGCTGAGTATTGACTGAAATTCTAATTTTTACAACATTGGATATTCACTCGATTTCTCATGTAGCGATTTATTTATTTTGTTGTAATTCAAAAACGAATAACTGTAGATACATGAAAATTTCACTGAATATTTATATTAGCATTTCCTATACACCATACATATTTGAAAATATTTTGACTCTTTTTGAGCTGCTAACGGAATTTTCAGTTTCCAATTTTTTTTAGTTTTTTATTCTATAAATATCGATAATGTTTTATCTGTTGGGCCAAATGTGTGAAAATTTAATACAAGGCTCCTGATATATAGTTACAATATCAGTTGAAGAATATTAAAAATACATAGGCACAATTTGTTTTTATAAACATTTAAAGATCGAATTTTGACAAAATTTATCAAATTTAAAATTGAATAATTATTTTGTAGTTAAGATCTATAAATTGTTAAACTTCTATATCTAAGGATTGAAAATTTAAAACTAGATTCCATGTAAGTAGTTAATTCTGTTACCAAAAAATCTAAAAAATACATACCTAATCACAGTTTATTTTTATAGTCATTTTAAGTTCAACTTTGGACAAAATTACATAAAAAGAAACCTAGAATAACTATTTTAGTTATTTTTTTTTGATTGTATAATATTGTTCGTGGGTACTTGAAACTTCTAAAGTACACTATTATATATCTATGATAGTATCAGGGTTTGTTGTTGATATATAACACATTATAAGTACCTAATGGATATTGTGATACGATTAATTTTTAATTTATTAGAGGTACCTATTTTATATAAATTTTTTTTAATACGATAGATAAGTATATAATATGTCTTATACCTAGACTGACAAACCGTCTGCGCTCAGAATCGTTATTCTTATACAATGATATTATATCATTGAATTCAAATTTAATACTATCCAAAATACATAATAAAATATTACAAAATACTTAAAAATAACGAAAATTATTTTGAGT